ACTCTTTCAGGCAAGGATTGATCCAGGGGCTTTCTTGTGCTCACTCCTGACTGTGCTTCCTCGGGACAGAGACCATCTTGCAGGTGGTGGTGAAGAGCACCTCTTCTGGGCTGGACTCCCAAGGTGACCTGGGACAGTTCCGCAATCAATTCCCACCTCAGTTTTCTCATTTCTCAAATGAGGATAATAAAAGGACCTGCTTCACAGGGTTTGGGGGATGAATAAAGATGTTCTATATATAAAGTCCTTTAAACAGTGTGACACAGGGGCTGTGTTCTGTGGAGTGGGAAGTTTTTATACATTTACAAAGGTACAAAAGTACGTACAAATGTGAACATTTATTTAAGATAGTAAAAGAAATAACAACAATAAAAATTTGAAAGATTGGATTAACAATCTGTGGTATATGTATACCTTGGAATACTATTCAGCCATTTAAAAAATGGAGAATTTACAGCCTTTGTATTAACCTGGATGGAAGTGGAACACATTATTCTTAGTAAAGCATCACAAGAATGGAGAAGCAAGAATCCTATGTACTCAATTTTGATATGAGGACAATTAATGACATGGTGGAGGTGGGGGAAGGGGAGAGCAGAGAGAGAAAGAAGGAGGGAGGGGTGGGGAGAAAGGCTGCAACTGGCTTCGGAAAAGAAAATCTGCCGCAACTTCTATCACATTTCTGTCACATACAAACTATTATAGAACAGGAATTATGAGAAGGAGGGGAGGTGGGGTCTTGGTGTGTGACACACCTTTTGGGGGCAAGACACCATTATAAGAGGGACTTTACCTAACAAATGCAATCAGTGTAACCTGGTTTCTTGTACCCTCAATGAATCCCCGACAATAAAAAAAAATCTTGAGCAGTGCCTATGGCTCAAAGGAGTAGGGCACCGGCCCCATATGCCAGAGGTGGTAGGTTCAAACCCAGCCCTGGCCAAAAACTGCAAAAAAAAAAAAAAAAATTGAAAGATTCACAAATTCTAAAAAATCACAAAGCAATTGAAATATCATTGTATTTGTGTTAATCGACTGCCAGGTGCTCTCTAGCCCTTCCCCTTCTGTTTGCTGGCACACTCTTTGATCATCTCTTTATTCAATACTAATTTTATAATGTCTTTTATTTTAGTGCAAATAGATTGCAATCTTTCCTCTAGTCAGGGTGATTGAATTTTTTTTTAAATGATAGGCATTTAATAATGGTTAATTATCGGGTAGTTTCTTTCCACGTCGCAACTCTTCATCACTAATGTCATATACAACTTCAGGATTATTGGTGAATTTGGGAAAACTCTGATTTACTCACTATGACCGTGTAACAAATCCCCCAAAGGTAAAATGAGCTGGTGGTGACTGGACCGCTGGGGCTGGAATCATCTGCAGGCTCTTTCCGCCGCCGTCTGGAGCCTGGGCTGGGGTCTAGAGGGGAGGATAGCTGGCTCCAGTGCTGACTAGTGGCCTGTCCAAGCAGTGTGGCCTCTACGGCATGGCATCCCCAGGGGAGTTGGACGTTTTACCTACCCGGTGGCTTAGAACTTTAGGAGGAGGCGTCCAGCTATTCAGGAGAAAGCTGCAGCACCTTATGATCTAACCCGAGGACCAAGCAGTGTCACTTTCCTCGCATCCTGTAAGTGAGAGAAAAACCCACCAGATTCAAGAGGAGAGGAATTGGCTTCTACCTCTTGACAGGGAAGTGGCCAGTATTAGAAGAGCATGGACAGGAGTTGTTGCTGCAACTGGCTTCAGAAAAGAAAATCTGCCACAACTTCTATCACATTTCTGTCACATACGAACTATTGTAGAACAGGAATTATGAGAAATTCTATGTCTTGAAATGACCATCAAAAAAAAAAAGAAAACATACATTCGAGACACATTTGAAAACACCCTTTCAAGTGTTCTGTTTTGATCAGGTGTCAATGAAAATGACATCTTCACTTGTAATTTTATGTCTGGTTGGATGAATTTTCCACAGACTGGCTCTGTATTCTCTTCCTTATTTCTCTTCCTTTACCCGATTCTTCTGGCATGAAAGGACACATCTGTACCACAGGCAACCTCTGGCCTTATATTTTTGTGTCGTAACACCAGGTGAGGCAGCCTGGAGTATTTTTGGAAACCATTCCTAAACCAGTAATGTCACTGTACATGAAACCAACCATCTTCCCGAGTTCTGGCCCAGCAGGAAAGACAAAGTGTCTCTTCAAGAACTTCATGCCAGAGTTTACTTTGATTACATCAGCGGGAGACATGGGGCCGATGAGTTCTACAAACCAAACACCACAGTGGTTGGGGGGATTCCAGAGCTGACTGGCCAGTCCCTGGCCACACGCTGCTTTCTTGGAGTTGGAGATGGAGTCAACACCTCCCAAACCATGGGGCCAAAGGATGGGGAAGGGTTGGTTCTCGGAGGAAATTAGGAGATATAAACGCGAAACAAAAAACCAGTTGTTCGTTTACTGCAAGTGTACTGCACACTTTGAGAATAGAATGGTAGAAAGGAAGGCCACCAAGGGGAGGGGATGACAAAATGGGAAATGTGGGCACCCAAGACCTTCACCAGCTTCACAGTCTGGGTTAGGGCGCTATGATGGGCCCTACAGTTGTGTCCCTCTCTTGAGGACCCCACTGGCCTGAGTGAGCAACAAATGGCCTCAGCTCAGCCCAAAGGTGCTGCTAGCCCTGTTTCTGGCTGACCACCTCCATACCTCCTCTCTGTCTTCTTGTCCTGACCTTTGTCCTCCTAGGCTTACTCCATATCCACAACCCTTGAGGGGCTGGGCTGGGGAAATCTTCAAGATTTCGTCATCCATTGTGCTTCCCTGCCCTTGGTCCCTCCACTTTCCCATCTTGGGTTTCAACCAAGTAAAGCCTTGTCTTAGCACATAATTCACAGGACACTGCTACAGGAGGGTCCTGAATATCCCTCTCATGCACAGAACCTGTGGCTCTCCTGTAGTTCGATGCATTGAGTGGTGGTTTTCAATCTTTTTACAGTCATTAGACTCTTTTTGAGAATCTGATGGAAGCCACAGACCTCGGTGGCTCAGTAAGGGCACCTCTGGCCACATGCAGCAGCTGGGCTGTCAAAACATGGTCAGTTTGAACGGAGAAGAGCTATGAGCATAAAACACCGTGGATTTTGGAGACTCAGTGTGGAAAAAAGTAAAATATCTTCTTAATATTTTTATATGTTGATCATGTGTTACATTGACAAAACTTGGGGTTATGTGGTTTAATAAAATACATCATGAAAGTATTTCACCTGTATCTTTTTACTTTTTTTTAACATGGCCAATAGACAGGTGAGTCTGGCACTTGTGGTTCCCATGACATTCTGTTGAACAGGGCTGCTCTGGATCCTTTCTCCAGAAACACTCATCTGCATGTGTAACCACGTGATTTTGTATATAATTTTAGGAACTGTGGGAAGTACCCTAAATCCCTTCATGGCCTCTAGTCCCAAATGAAGAATCTCTGAGTCAGGAATGTCATGATTTTCTCCAGGCCCAGCATATGCCATGCTATTACTGTACAGGTGGGGAAACTGAGGGTCTAGCCATCCTCCCTGTCAAGCCAACTGTCTTTTGGGAATGTGGGGGAGCCTGGGCTCCCTGGTCTGGGGACAGAGAGTCCAGTCCTAGGCTATGTCAGATGGGTGACTTTTTTTTTTCTTTTTGAGACAGAGTCTCAAGCTATCGCCCTGGGTAGAGTGCGATGGCATCACAGCTCACAGCAACCTCAAACTCTTGGGCTTAAGCAATTCTCTTGCCTCATCTTCCCAAGTAGCTGGGACTACAGGCTCCCACCCACAACAGCCAGCTATTTTGTTGTTGTTGCTGTTGCAGTTGTCATTGTTGTTTTAGCTGGCCTGCACCAGCTTCGAACCCACCAGCCTCAGTGTATGTGGCCGGCATCCTACCCATTGAACTACAGGCACCGCCAGGTGGGTGACTTTCTACTTTGCTTCCTCTGTGACCCACATGGAGTAAATTGTTCTTTGTAGTCTCCTACATTTCACACTTACTTTTTCATTAGATTTTAAATCTGGTTCATGCAAATTAGAAATAGTACCCATTCAATTAATTTTCACTTGTTCATTATTAATTTTCTGCTTTGGCTGGTTCTATAATAAAACATTTTACATCTGGTTGTAATAATCCAACATCAATTCAGTTTCATTTGCCTCAAAAAACAAGTCCTGAAAAAGAAAAATAATTATTGTTCAATATTACACTGATAGTAAAACGATGAATGCCCATCATTTTAGGAAACCTGTTAGTACTAATGTGCACGCTGAATCCTTTTTTTGTGTGGCTTCACAAAGTTTTCTTCTATAATTTTCATAACTTTAATGTTTCCTGATTATCCTCTTTTACCTTTATTACAAAGTCTAATAGAAATTAACTAAGGTGTTGGGAGCTATAACCAGTGATGTCAGAACCAGAGGTAAGGAGCTATGATCAGTGATGTCTGCAACCGGCTCAGGGCAGGTGAAGAGGGAGCCCCAATCTGTGAGGGAGCTGCCACCACAGCTGCTCTTATTATTGTCACCTGGACTCCTGGCTGCACAGAACTGGGCTCAAGTGCTGAGCCTCCTTCCCCAGAGACTAGCCTCGCCCAGGCAGGACTGGCCCATCTCCATCCCATCCTCTGCCATCAGTCTCAGGACAACCAGCTTCTTTCCACTGCTCCCAGGACTCGTCTGCTTCCTCCTGGCTGCGTCCTCTGTTCTGACACTCCAGATCTGGAAGAGCTGCTCCACCTGTGGTCCTGGACTCTTGCCAGAGGTTTCTGGAGATGCTGGTTGACCCAGGATGCTGCGGAAGAGCAGAAGGTGCTGAGCTGAAGGAGAGATCTGGGGGTGGAGCCCCAATCTGTTTATAGGACTGTGGCTCCTAGGAGGCTGGCGGATTTGAGGCCAGTCCTATGCCATTGGGATAGTTGCTGTCATTCAACCAGAGAGTTGGCCCTGGAGTGCAACCAGAAGTGTCAGCATGGACAGTCTGTCACCCGGGGAACCACTTGACCATCCTCACCAGGTAACAGTGTCTGCCAAGCCTGGGGCCACCAGGCAGGGCAGGGCCTGGGGCCAGAGTGCATTCTGAGCAGCTTGTCACAGCTGAAATCAGGGCAATTCTGGTCTCTGCCTAGGCTGAGGCAGAGGGTGAGGCAGTCTGGGATTGGGGGTGCAGAGTATGGGGGATGGGTAGGCAACAACCAGAGAAGCGGGGCCTGGGGACAGGAGTCTGGTCAGCAGAGCCTCTCTTCTCTGCTATAAGTGACCAATAGCAGCACCCTTAGGGACCTCCAACTTCCCCCAAAGGCTCACATCCACATCAGAGAACACAGCGGTTGGGTGACAGAGAAGGAGACTCAATAGGCCACAGGCTAGTGGATTTCTTAGGACTGGCTGAAACCCTAGGATCACCCTATGTGCCTTAGAAGCTCTGGGCCCCAAAGCCTATCCCTGCCAGAACTATGAGGCTGGTCCTAAGGAGGCCTGCAGACTGCTCACCCCCACCTGGCCATGTTTTCCCCTTCATCCCAGGTTTCTCATCCTTTGCCAGAGACCAGTGCCAGCAGGACTGGCTCCTCAGGTCTCCTCTGGTACCTCAGATGGTCCCCAGGAGGGGGCTAAGTGTGCCAAGGTTACTGTCCCAGGGTCCTCTGCCTCATTAGCCAACCTTATTGGGCTCTGGAACCTTGGCTTTGAGTCCTAGGCCAGAGCTGGATCCAGACAAATAGCTTTCCAGGGTTTCTAGAAAAGACTTGGCCTAGGGCAGGCTAGATACCAAAGATTCCTGGGAGAAGGTAGAGAGGGACCCCCCCCATTGGAGGACATATCTGGTGGACATATCTGGGAGGACACCCCCCCCCCGCCAAGTCAGATATCAGTAGGAAGTTGAGTCTGGGAGGAGACCAAGGATACAAAGTGGTGGAGGGGCTGCATAGCATCGGCCTCATTGTCCCCAACCCCCACATCAGGAATCCTGAGCCCCAGAAAGGCCCCTGTGGAGGTCTCTAAAACATCCTACCTTTAAGTTCATCTCCTTGGCAAAGGCCGAGCCCTTCGCCTTACTCCCTCAGCCTCCTGCAGGCCCAGCCCCAGGGGTACAATGAGGCCCAAGTTTCAGTGATTTCAGAACTTGAGTTTGCCCCACACCTGGGAAGGACCTCACCCCCAGCCAGTGTTCCCAGGACTGAGTCCCCAAGACCAAGTAGGTTCCTATAGTGAGTAAGCCTCCTTTCTGCTGGAACAGAGGCCTGGAGCCTGCCCTGGAGCCAGAGTTGGGCTGGCAGGGCAGGCTGGGTACCCAGGACCTGTTCTGGAATGTGTCTGCTACGTGATACAGGAGTGTCGGCCCAGACTGACTCAGGGAGGTGCAGAGCCTGAGGTTGTGCCCAGTCTCCACTCCTCTCTCTGGAAGGGCAGGCTTATTTCCCTCTTCCTACCAAAGCCCCAGAATCATAGTTACAAATAATGTGGACCCCAGTCTAGGGTCTCAGCCCCATCAATCTCCCTTGGACCACATCCCCTGAGGCAGGCAGGGGCCAGCACTAAGTCTCTCACAAAACTTCCTGGACCCTCTTGGACCCTCCATTGGGAGGAGGACGGTGAAGGTTCTGGGACCCTGCACAGGACTTGAAGAGAGAGTGGCAGAGAACCCAATAGGGAAGCCATCCCAGGACCCCCCAGCAGCTAGGCCGGAGGACCCCCTCCAGATGGATCCAGGGGCAGTCATCAATTAAGGCAAGATTTGAGATGGGAGGAATTGCAAAAGGAAGCCCCAGCGCCCTCAGGAGAAAAGAATCCTATTAGTTAATATGTTAGTCACTTGTCATATGTCAAAAACAAACCTATGAAATTCTGGTTTCTGGATTTCCATGAGCAGTAGGGGGAAAGTTTGGTGCTTTTACAAAGAAGCCAAGTCCTGGGAAAGTTCCAATAGTAGAATAGCATAGGAGTCTTGAGCTCTACTTTAGAGTTTGAATTCTAACTCTGTCACCTGCTAACTGTCACCTTGGGTGAGTTAACTTTTCTGAGTCTCAGTTCCCCCTTCTGTAAAGTGAGAGGGGTGAGAGGCTCTCTCATGAGGCTGTAGGGGTATAAATCAAGTTAGAATATGTAATATGCTCAGTACAGCACTGTCAGTCTAAAAAAGACGCCAGAGAAAATGATCTCTAAATATGTTGAGTTTACTCAGGAATGAGGATTATAGCCTAGAAGGTACAGATTGGCAAGCCACCATTGAGGTATGGGAAAGGAAATCTTTTATTAGCAAAAAGGGGAGAGGTTCACGTAAGCTACTCATAAGTAGAGTTCATTGGTTCCAGAGGCTGGAAGCCAGAGCTGTTGTCAGTTTATGGGTGGAGATGCCATCACTGGGCAAGTGTTTCTCGTTTGTTCATTTGTTTGTGAGGGCATCTTATCTGAATTCCTGAAACCCTAAAGGACGTGTAGTGATAGACCAGGTCAATATAAAGGATGTGAAATGGTTTTCTGTGGAGTTTATAGAAAGTCCTCAGAGACAGTTTTTATCTCAGGCACACAAGCATAAGCCTTCTTGCCATCATGTCCTCCTGGCCCTATTTGTGTGGATCTGACAAAAGTGATTCCATCTTGCTATCTGCAACTTTCATGGTACCTAGAAACATAACAGGCACTTCATAAACAATAATAAGAGTAATTACCTAAAAACTGCTTAATGTTTTCCTAAGAATTCTATAGGTGTTAACCTTTTTGGCCTCAGACTACCCTGTGAAGTTAATACCATTATTATTCCCACTACAGATGAGGAAACAGAGGCACAGAGAAGCTTAAGGAGTTGCCCAGGGTCACACAGCAAGTGGTAGGACCAGAGTTTAAATCCAGACAACCTGGCTTCAGACTCTGCCGTTAGCTCCCCCTAAAGACCATTCATTGTCATTGTTGTCACAATAATATAATGCTCTAGGTGCTCTATGTTAGTGATGGTCTTAGAAGGAAAGAGGTTTCATCCTAGGAAAAACAACCTGCCAGGGAGGGGAGGATTTTCTTTCAGCTCTTAGTGGCAGGAAGGACACCAGTCCTCAAACTGGGGTTGGTGACTGGCTAGAACACCAGTCGAGCAGTTGGGGATACTTCTTAGTAGTATCAGCCCATAGTCTGAGCAGCCCACACTCTGTGGACCTGTGAAGCCTCCGCCTGGCCAAGGAGCAGGGAAGCAAGGCCAGGCTGCATCTGCCTCTGCCTTCCCCGGTCTTGGAGTGGGGCATTGAAACTCAGCACCCTGCAAGGCCCCAGCATCCCAGCCACCACCCTCCCTGGGCAGGCAGTGGAAGAGTTTAGGTGCAAGAAGGAAATGAGGTGTCTAAAACTTTATTAAACAAATCCCTGACAATTAAAACCTCTGGCTTAAGATCTATAGAGTTGAAATGTAGCTGGTGTCTTTCGAATTAATCCCAAAGAAGAGAGAAACAAGTCTGCCTTGCTGGGGGAGATCTCATGTGCTCTGCCAGGGAGCTGAATGGAATGACAGGGACACTCAGCATGGAGCCACAGGAGAGGGAGATGCTGGGTGGGGCTGTGAGTCACAAGCAGCTGTGCTGTGGCCTGTTGTCCTTTATGGTTCTTTGTGGGGAGTGGGTCCCTGAGGGCACTGAGCTGGCCCCAGCAGGCAGTATCTGTGCAGAGCGGACACCAGTTCCTTGTAGGCACTGAGTCCTCTGACCATGTGCATGAAGTGGGTGTGGGCGGGGGAGGGGGCAGAGCAGGAAAGGGCTTTGGTTCATCACACCATTGTCTCCCAACAAAATGCCTGATGTCCACCATGCAAGCACCATGCTGTCTCTGCTCCCTCAGGGTACAGGTGAAAAGGCGGAAGGGCAGAGGGAAGTAAGGGTCCCTTGCGGTAGGACTGACTTGGTGTGGTCTAACCTGGTGCAGAGGCCACTGAGTGATGTAAGACCCAGAACAGACCATTTCTGGCTTGGGGTCTTCTGTGGGCTCTTCACCAGGTCTGCCACATTGCGTGTCTCCAGGGGTTAGCATTTCATACCCTCTGTGTGAATGGTGCGCCTGAGGTCCTGCCACACTGTGGCCCTGAAGAGTCCCCTCCTAGCTGGGGCTCCCAGTGCAGGTGATGCTTCCTCCCGACATCCCCCATTCTAACAGCTCTTCCTGCTGGGCACGTGCTCTGCAGGGTCCTCCTGCACAGGTTCCTTTTCAACATCATGCAAGGCCAACAACTTCGGGGTCAGCCCCCAGAAAAAATGCCCCCCTTTTCCTGCTAGACCCATTAGAGTTACCTCTAACAGTCAATCAAGTAAAGAACCTGTGCCCAGAAAGAGCCACCCAGGCAGGCCCCCGGAAGAACAGAAACCCAAGGACACCCCTGGATCTCAACTGTGCCAGGGATACCCCTCAGGGCCTTGTCCCCAACAGGACTCAGCCATGCCCTGCACGCCTCAGTTCTTCCTCCTGCCACCTACTCTTCAATCTCTTGCTGGTATCTCTGGCCTTGGAGACTCTGCCCACTCACCTTTCACTCCCCATGGCTTGTCCTCATTAGCATCTCAATATGCAGTGACCTTTCACTCACAGCACCCACTGTTCCTTGTAATGGCCTGAGGTTCTTAGAGTTTCCTGGTCCATGCTCCAGACAGTGCAGACAGGCTGAGCTCCAGTTGAGTGCCTGTGGGTGTCACAGACATGGGCTCCCCAGGGCTCAGTGCTCCCTTGAGTCCTTTGTCACAAAGGTCTGGGGACTGGAACCGGTCAGGGTCCTGTAGTCACCAAAGGGCTGCCCTCCCTGGGAGCTCTGGGTGTGGCTGATGTTGAACTGACAGGTGTGGGGGCCACTCCTTGGCCTCAGTTCCTTGCTCTGTCCACTACACTGTACAATCCTGTCCTTGAAGGGGAGGAAGCCCCACAAATTTAATCCCAGGGGACTGATCTGCCATTCCCTGACTGTTGCAGTCCAGAACCATGACCCCAAGGGCAGTGGTGGACACAGGCTGGCTTGTCCCCAGAGGACATCTCCAGCATGCCTGGCGGAGTGTCAGTTGCCAAGTACCAGGAGTCTGGTGAGGGCATGTCTGAGGCCACAAGACAGCAGTTGGGCTTGGGTGAGGTGACAAGCTGCAGGGACCCAGCAGTTTGATATTTCTCTCCAGGGGGAGGCCTCTGCCTGCTGGTGCCTCACTGTAAGGGTCCTGGAGGCTCGGAACCTGCCCTGGGCTGACATGTGTGAGTATCTGTCTCCTGGGCTCCAGCGCGTCCAGGGAGGACAGAGCCATATGGGAGAAGCCCAGACAAGTGCCCCGGCAATGGCTGGGGCTGCCCATGGGGGCCACCGGGGTCTTGGTAGGAAACTGACCTGGTCCCTTGAGAGGGCTGCGAGGAGTCTCTCTCATAATGGTTTTCTTGACTTTGGCAGTGAGTGAGGCCGACCCATACGTGGTGCTACAGCTGCCAACTGCCCCAGGCATGAAATTTAAGACCAGAACAGTCACCAACTCCACTCATCCTGTGTGGAATGAGACCTTCAGTTTCCTAATCCAGAGTAAGGTCAAGGTAAAGGACAGGGCCCCCTCCACCGCTCACTGTGAACAGGCCTGAGCCCTGCAGGGGAGCTCTCGAGTTGGAGCACACATCCTCCAGGGCTCTGCCAGAGAAACTCTCTGAGGCGGGTGTCTTTTTGGCCTGGCCAGTATGTACTGTGTGTGAGAGAGTGTGTGAACGAGTGAACATGGTCCCTCCAAGTGGCTGTGGTATCCACCTCCAGCAAGCTGTTCTTCCTCTCTAAGCCCATCTATAAAGTGGAGACAGTGAAAGTCCCCTCCTGCTGGGTCATTGGAGGGTTCAGTGAGACCATGTACTTAAGACCACCAGCATAGGGCCTGGCATGGACCCTAGAGTGCACCTCAGGAGACCAGCAAAGCCAGGGAGAGAGACACCGAGACAGACAACATTCAAAATTCTTTGACAGAATTTTATTTTTGACAAAAACAAAAATCAAGAGAGAGAAATTAGAAATTGTTCTGGATTTCTTTTCTTTCTTTCATTCTTTCTTTTTTTTTTGAAACAGAATCTCACTTTGTCATCCTTGGTAGAGTGCCATGACGTCATAGCCTACAGCAACCTCAAACTCTTGGGCTCAAGTGATCGTCTTGCCTCAGCCTCTTGGGCAGCTGAGACTACAGGCAGGCACAACAGCTAGTTTTTTCTATTTTTAGTAGAGACAGAGTTTCACTCTTGCTCAGACTGGTCTCAAACTCCTGAGCTCAGGCAATCCACCTGCCTTGGCCTCCCAGAGTACTAGGATTATGGGCATGAGCCATGGTGCCTGGCCCAAATTTTGCTGGATTTCCTTATACATCATTCAAGTTTTACAGTTATTTTTATTTGAAGTATGAAAGTGTGAAAACCTAAGAATCTTTTCTGCACAAGTGTTCAACAGAGGTGAGCTGTTACTGTTGCTATGAGTAGATAATGTGACAAGTTGCTGTTCCTGTCTCTAGAATGTTTTAGAGCTTAGCATCTATGATGAGGACTCAGTCACAGAGGATGACATCTGCTTCCACATTCTCTATGACATCTCAGAGGTCCTCCCTGGTGAGCTGCTCCGGAAGACCTTCTCCAGGCATCCCCAGGTGGGTGGGAAGTCTCCATGGGCTCTGGGCTGAAGAAATTGCTCAGTCTCTCCCATCTCTTTGGATGCTGCAGGGTCTGCTGGGTCACGGAAAAAATGTAAACCCCTCCCAGAGATATTTGCATTTTAATAAGAAAGGAGAAGGCTTAACTTTACAGTTCTATGCTGAATTGCCCAATAGAGGAATTAAGATTTGGGGAGGTGGAGAGCTTCCTAATGTCCCTCAGAAACCAACCCTTGGAGCAGCTGTGGGGCTGCTTTGGGAGGATCTTGGCACTCTTCCCACTGCAGGCAGGGGTTGAGGGAGGGCAGAGCCCTGGGGGCTGGACCCTCCTCAAGAGGAAGAAGAAATGGGCCTGTGCATCCTCCCGTCTCCTTTGGCTATGCTCCTTGGCTTCCCCTTCTGCCCTGGCCAGAGTTTTGGGTCCCAGAAGGAAAGGAGACCTGTTCTGTGCAAACTTCTATCTGTGGATACTATGGGCAGGTAGACCACCTGGCCCTACACCTCAGTTTCTTCACCTGCAAATTGGGAATAATATGAATAAGTCTCCTGTAAAGAATGCTTGAGATGATGAGATCATGCATATAAAAGAACTGCATCAACTCAGTGTTACTGATTTTGACTGTCTTCTTGGCTTGCAGGGAGAGGAGGAGCTGGACGTGGAGTTCCTGATGGAAAAAACGTGAGTGATACCACGCAGCTGGGGCCCAGGCTCCATTTGGGGAAATGGCCCTGACCTCGATCCTCCCTGTGGTCAGCCCAGCGAGATGTGCTGTCCCTCATCTCCCCACCCCTGCCAGAGAGGTGAGGGAGGCCAGGTGTCGCATCTGCCCTCCCCCTGAACCTTACCCAGGACAGGGAGAGCCCACATGGGTGGCAGGTGGCAGGCCAACAGGGCAGGAAGTGTTTGCCTTGGCAAGCCTAACTCTGGTTTGTTTGATTTTTCCAGGTCGGACCACCCAGAAAACCTTATCACCAACAATGTTCTTGTGGTAACTGCCTTCCCCAGGCCTTGGGGAGGGGCCCTTGGGCAGACATTTGGGTTAGGGGCAGCAGCCTGGGTGGGGACCAGAAGGGACCAGAAGGGACAGGCAGGGATAGGACTCTGTGGGAAGACCACCCTGGTCACACGCAGGGCGTTACCTGGGGCTGTGGGGCCTGGAGGGCCTGGATCGGCCTGGAGCTGAAGGGCACACAGAGAGAGGGCAGGCAGGGCTATGCTAAGAGCAGGTTCTGGCCAGAGGCTGGATGGCTGTGGAAAAGTTAGGTGCTTCCTGGTGGTGGTAGTTTTGTGTGATTAGCTCAGTTCTGGGATTGCTCTGAGCTCTTCCCTAGAAAGTGGTGAAGAAGCCATGCAGGCCAGGCCCCGCTTCAGCTTGTTAGTGTTGGGGGTCCCTGAAGCTCAGAGGAAGGTTCCTGTGTGGTGTGCTTCTTGCCTCAGAGATGGGCTAGGACCAGAGAGTCAGTCAGCTCCTCCTCGGGACAGTGGAGCCTTGGGAACACAAGGTAGCAACCCAGAGGTCTGTTAGAAGCTTTCCACTCAAGGTGTGGCCCTCAGGCCAGCAGCAAAGGTGCCCCCAAGAGCAGACCAGCCTACAGTCCCGCACAAAGAGACCTGCAGCATAGACTGTAAGGAGGTGCTTATTCCCAAGGCCCTGTAAGTGCCTGTTTAATGAGTTCATATTACTTTTTAAAAATACACATTAAAATAAAGTCACAGCTATGGCACCGCCTCTTAGGAGGTGATGGAGACCAGCCATGGGTTGGTAAATCCAGCAGTGCTATGTAAAGTGGGCAGCAGGGCTCACTTGGCAAGCCAGGTAAGCAGAGGACAGTGAGGAGATATTGTGGTTGCTGCAGCTCTGTGTATCTCTCTGCCTCCCATTCCGTCATCCTGTAGACCCCTGGCTTGCTTACACTATTTGGGAGTCTCTATAGTAAAATACTTCCTCCAGGTCAAGGGTGTAGAGAGACATGGGGCAGAAAGAACCACATCTGAGAGCTGGGCAGCTGTCAGGGATCCTAGAAATGTTTTTTCTTTGAGACAGAGTGTCTCTGTGTTACCCTCAGTAGAGTGCCAGTAGAGTGCTGTGGCATCACAGCTCACAGCAACCTCAAACTCTTGGGCTTAAGCAATTTTCTTGCCTCAGACTCCCAAGTAGCTGGGACTACAGGCGCCCACCACAATGCCTGACTATTTTGTTGTTGTTGTTGCAGTTGTCATTGTTGTTTTAGCTGGCCCGGGCCAGGTTCAAACCCTCCAGCCTCGGTGTTTGTGGCTGGCACTGTAACCACTGTGCTACGGGTGCTGCCAAGGATCCCAGAAGTTTTGCAAAGCTAGGAGAGCAGGACGCAGGTGGGGAGCCAGGCTCTCCTGGCTGCTCTGGAACATTAGGCTTAGCAGGTGCAGAGGGTGAGAGATCGGTGAAGGAGTTTTCCATCCAGTCGCATTCTGAGCCTCACTTCTTGTCCAGTGTGTGGTAGATTTGGGACAGTGAGGGCACAGAGGGTTGAGGTTGAGACCTCAGTCTACCCTGCAGCATCCCCTGACCATGATATTGTCTGTCCCAGGCTCGAGAGCTGTCATGCCTTGATGTGCATCCAGACCTCACAGGGGGTGCTGCTGTGGTCACAGGTGAGACCTGCTCAGAACCGGGTCTGGACTCCGCCTGGAATGTGCGGTAGACAAGGGGTAGACAGGGGTTCTGGGACACCTGTGCAGGGTGGAGGTGAGCAGCAGGACAGAGCTGGCCTCTTCCTTCTCGCTCACACAGCACAGAGGGCCACCTGAGTCCTCCAGGCAGGAGAGTTCCCCTGTCTGGGGAGAGCATGTCGCAGGAGGTGGGCATCCCATGGGGGCTGAGGGGTCCTGCAGTCTGGGAAGGCCCCTTTTCAATATCCCATTTATGACAGTCTCACCTCCTGGCTTCCACCACGTCCGGACAATACTGTTGGTCTTCCAACTTTGAGCTGGAGGTCTGGGCTATTGTTCTCCTCAGGCTAACCTGCCTGCTTTCTCCCTAGATCAGGATAAGCTGGAGCTGGAGCTGGAGCTGAAGGGCTCATATGAAGACACACAGACATCCGCCCTGGGCACAGCTTCTGCCGTCCGCTTCCACTACATGGCAGCCCAAGAGACAGAGCTGCGTGGGCATCTGAGGGTGGGTCTTGGCTCTAGATCTCCCACCAATCCCAACCTCTGGTCAGCTCCAGCTACTGAGAGCTTCTCTCTGACCTGCCCCTCCCCCGCCTCCTGAAAGGCTAGGCCCCTGTGGCCTTGCCAGCCTTTCCCTCTTAGGCACCACACCCTTGGCACACAGGGAGGATCACAGGGGGACAGCTAGGCAGAGGGACTGCTCTGCCCTGTCGGCCTTTGTTGGAGTCCTCCAGTGACTCCTGTACTGATGTCCTTGAATAAAGGTGATGTCTGTGCCTACAGCCTGGCGCTGCCCACAGCAGCTGCCTCACTCAGTTCCCGCCCGGCCTCATGCATAATGCTCCAGCCATACTGTCTCTCTCATTTTTCCAACATACCGAGTACTTTCCCTGCCCTCCACTGGCCCCTTCCAAGGCTGCCGCCTCCTCCTCCCTCTGCACCTCAGCTCAAATGGCACCTCTTCAGAGGAGCCTGCCTTATCCCCCGACTTCAAGGAGACACCACTTCCCACCTTTGGTTACTCTGTCGTATCCCACGGTTTACATCATTTACAACACTGACTAACATCAATTCATCGCCTGTTTCTTTATAAAATCATACAGTGCAATTCAGTGAGAACAATGGTTTTGCACTAAAAATATGGCCTTGTATTTTTTTCTCATTATTGGTAATTAAAAACTAGTATAATTACATTAACTGTAATTATTTTTACAGTATCAAGGATGCACTATGTCTACCTAAATTATAGTCTAGATACTCAGGATTTGTGGAATGAATGAATGACTATTTCCCTCCAGAGTTCCACAGGCAATTTCTGGAACCAGGATAACTCAGCAGCTAATTGGCACTTCACCATGCCTGTGAGGTCCTTGGCTGAGGGGAAGGAAGTGACCATTGATGTTCCTGCTGCAAATGTAAGTGGTCTCAACTGAATGGAAAGTGCCAAGGGGAATAAAGATGAGTCCCAGAGGATACCATGTGCCCCTCCCTCAGTGTCTACGACCATCTGCGCAGAGTCTCTTGCTTTGATTTCAGGCCCCAGGAGTGAAGCTGCAGCTCAAGGCAGAGGGCTGGTAAGGGACATTTGTATCTGGAGGGAACAATGAGAGGTGGTGATGGAGGAGAGGAGTGCTGTGGGAAAGGGTTGTCCTTGGGATTTAACTTGGTTGCTTGTTGTGGGCTTGGCCAACCAGTAACAAAGCCATGTAGGTGCTCTCTGACCCTTGGATCCTCCACTGCCCCAGCCCCAAGGACTTAGACTTGCACCTGGGCTTTGATCTGTGTGCAGAGGAGCAGGCCTTCCTGAGCAGGAGGAAGAAGGTGGTGGCCGCAGCCCTGAAGAAGGCCCTGCAGCTGGACAGAGACCTGCAGGAGGATGAGGTCTGGTGGTGCCTGGGGCATGTGTATGCAGACACCCTGGACTGGGTTTAAGGGTTTACCTCATTCCTATGCCTCTCCAGACATGCAACCAGCAGAGAATGGAGAATTGGGGGGGGCTTGGGTAAGCTTTGGGGTTCCCACTCCCTTGGGGCACCCAATCCTTTTGGGGCTCTGTCCTGGATTGAGAGCTATCCTTTACAGCATAGAGGCTGGAATTAGCTCTGCCCCTGACTTGAGCAGGCCATGTCCACGACATCCCTTCCCTAGAGGCAGGGAGCAGGACGAGGCCCTGGGTAAGACAGGGAGCAGCTCGTCCTGTCCTTGTTAAGCCAGCCTATTTCTCGGTGTGGTCCAGGTCCCTGTTGTGGGCATTATGGCGACAGGAGGAGGTGCCCGGGCCATGACTGCACTCTACGGCCACCTATTGGCCCTGCAGAAGCTGGGCCTTCTGGACTGTGTGACCTACTTCAGTGGCACCTCAGGCTCTACATGGTGAGGGCTCTGGGGCCGGGAGCAGCAGAGATGATCAGGGCACAGTGGGTGGAGGTGGGAGGGACAGAGTGGACCCCAGAGGGTCCCTCTATATGGGGAAGCCAAGAAGGTATGAGCAATGTGGTCTGATGGGTGCCAAGCGGCTTTCTCACAGGGAGGAAACAGACATTTCCAGAAGTCCCACCATGAGCAAGCCCATCAGATGCTCCTGAAGAGCCTGGATGTAGCTGCCTCAGGAGGGGCAAGGTTTGAGCTTGGCTATCACTTACTGGCTTGCGTGACCTTGAACAACCTATTTCCTTTGCTTCTCAGTTGACTCATCTCTGAAGGAGACAAAATGCTCTGTAGGCTTTGAGTGAGATAGCCTAAATGAAACACCTAATGTCTGACACACCAGGGGGTTCAAATTTGTAGCCCCCTTTTTCTTTCATTGTTATTACCTCATTTAATCTAATTTGAAGCTCCCGTAGTGTCAGGCATTATATTAAGTGTCTGACTTGGGCTATCTCATTCTTTGAGATAGTTTTTCTGTCCATGCCATACTGTGTAGATGAGGACATTGAGCTCAAGACATGTATTTTGCCTAAAGACAACATTGCCTCTTTTCATTCTCACCCCACCTATGGTTAGGTGGAACATTTTACTGTTAGAGATTCATTCCTTTGAATCTTATCAAAATGGGACTTTAAGGACTGAGAAAAGATTCCTTCTCAATTTAGGTGACAGCTGTTGACAAGCAGTCTTAAAAGGCTTCAGGACAGGACCACAAAGATGGCAGGGTCCAGAACTGAGCTCTCCAACATGGTAGCCACTAGCCACATATGGTTACTGACCGCTTGATGTGTGGCTAGTCCACACTCACTGAGATGTGTTCTAAATACACAGTGAATGTTGAAGGCGTAGCTTGAGAAAAATAACAAAGTATGTCAATAACTTTTATATTGATTATGCATTAAAATGATTTGTAGATATACAGTGTTAAATTAAATATATTATGAAAATTAGTTTTTATAGGTTTTTAATAATTTTTAAGAGCATTTACTAGGAAATATAAAATTACATATGTGGCTCACATTATTTTGACACTGGACAGTGCTGATCTAGGAGAGAAAGCCCTTTGACACATTTACCAGACAAGCAGAGCCTTGGTGGCAGAAGCCACGTGCTGGGAGAAGCTGGAGGGTGGGAAGGAGTTGCAGTGCTCTGTGGCAGTCCTTAGTCTCCTACTGTTCTGTTATTCTCCCAGGACAATGGCTCACCTATATGGGGACCCTGAGTGGTCACATAGGGACCTTGAGGGTCCCATCAGACACATCCGAGAGCACCTTGCCAAGAGCAAGCTAGAACTCTTCTCCCCAGAGCGCCTAGCAGGCTACCGCCGGGAGCTGGAGCTGCGGGCTAAGCAGGGCCACCCTACGACCTTTGTGGACCTGTGGGCCCTGGTGCTGGAGTCCATGCTGCAGGGCCAGGTAGGAGCCTGAGTATGTGGGGTGCAGCACGTGTGCACTGGAAGGGTGGGGCTTTTAAACAGTGATCAGGCACATTCTATGTGTTTTAAGGAAAGTTACTTAAACTATTTTGTGCCTCATTGTTCTCATCTGTACAATGGGGATAAGAAGAGTATTTTATCTCATAGGGTTTTGTTTTGTTTTGTTTGTTTTTTGAGAGAGAGTCTCACTATGTTGCCCTTGTTAGAGTGCTAAGGTGTCACAGCTCACAGCAACCTCCAACTCTTAGGCTTAAGAGATTCGCTTGCCTCAGCCTCCCAAGTAACTGGGACTATAGGCACCTGCCACAGTGCCCAGCTATTTTTTTGTTGCAGGTGTAGGCGATTCTCTTGCCTCAGCCTCCGGAGTAGCTGGGACTACAGGCACAGACCACAACGCCCAGGCTATTTTGTTATTGTAGTTGTCACTGTTGTTTGGCAGGCCCAGGCCAGGTTTGAACCCGCCAGCTCCAGTGTATGTGGCTGGCGCCCTAACTGCTGAGCCACAAGCACCAAGCCTCCTCACAGGGTTGTTGTGAGTGCTCCCTGGTACTCTGGCAGAGTTAGCAGTGTTAGCTATCATATTTCTTCACTCTTATCCTAATGACATCAAGATAAGCTAAGCATACACATTTTTTGTCATAACACTCCTTTAAGGAAATTTTAATCAGTTAGCTGCTGAATCTTATATTGATATAATTATTAAAATGAGTGATTTTTTCACACTATTATTTTATCACATATGACCATAGGAACAAAGTTTCAAAAGTATTTGAAACAACTAAAAGAAAAAAAGGTTTTTTTTTGAGACACAGTCTCACTCTTGCCCATTCTAGGGTGTTGTAATATAAGCCTAGCTCACAGCAACCTCAAACTCCTAGGTTCAAGCGAGCAATCCTCCTGCCTTAGCCTTCCAAGTAGCTGGGAATACAGGTGCCTGCCACAACTCTCAACTAGTTTTCTCTATTTTTAGTAGAGATGGAATTTTATTCTTGCTCAAGATGGTCTCGAACATCTGAGCTTAAGTGATCCTCCTGCCTCAGCCTCCCAGAATGCCAGGATTGCAGGTGTGAGCCACCGCACTGTCCACTGTGATGTGTATTCATATTGCATATTAACAGGAGGCCCATCATGTCTGGTTGTTTCTTTTTGTGACATAAAGATTGATCAGCTGAGCCTGAGTGTGCTCTGTATACAGGGTCATTGTCTGTTACTCCAATTAAAGAAGCAGGAAGCCTTCAAAGAAAAGAAAAAAAGAAAGATTAATCAGCACAACCTGCATAGCTAGGCAGAGACCTTGCACACTGAGGTGGTCAGAACCCAGGGGCAGGAGTGGGAATTAACCACATACAGGTCCCCTGGATGGAGGACCTCCTCCACCCCCAGCCTGGCCCTTCCTACCCCATCCTGGTAGAGGTGCTGCCTCCTGGTGGTGGTGCTGCGCCCAGTCTCACTAAGGTTCCTGTGCCCTCCGGCGCCAGGTGATGGATCAGAAGCTGTCAGGACAGAGAGCTGCCCTGGAGTGGGGTCAGAACCCTCTGCCCCTCTACTTGGGCCTCAACGTCAAGGAGAACAATCTAGAGACGCTCGACTTCAAGGGTACAGTCCTATCAGCCCCACCCCTATCCTCCATACTCCAAGAATGCCCAGAGAATTCAAACTGGAAACTCTGGTCCAGATTGACTAATCTTCTGGAAGGGTGGTGGTGCTGACAGCTCAAGGGCCCCCCCCAGGGGAGCCCTCTGTCATTGAGGTCAGGGGCATTTGAGAATGTTGAGGAGGCAGGGTGGGGGGTGGTCAGCCCGGGGGGTGCTTTCCTTACATCTGCTGCATCAGTGCTGGGCAGGAGGAAGGCTGAGGCCTATGGGGGGCAAGCTCGGGCTCTTGCCCAAGCTGGGGCTCCCTCAGTCCAGTCTCCTCACACTCCTGCTCTCCCTCCCACCCCCTCAGAGTGGGTTGAGTTCTCCCCCTATGAGGTCGGGTTCCTGAAGTACGGGGCCTTCATCCCTCCTGAGCTCTTTGGCTCTGAGTTCTTCATGGGGAGGCTGATGAGAAGACGGCCTGAGCCCCGCATCTGCTTTCTGGAAGGTGAGGGCGGTCACTCTGAAGGCCCTGACAAGTTCAGGCCAGGTCTCTGAATTGGACATGACTCCTGTACCTCAGGTCTAGGCAGAGCCCCAGGACGAGGAGTAGGGTTGGGCAGTGGGAAAGAGCCATTGAAGGGGTACCCCACTTTCCATCAGCACCCAAGGGTGGGAGCCACTGGCTTCTAAGTGTTGGGAGGCAGGGTGCTGGAGCCTGAGGGCTGACCTCTCTTGGGGGCTTGGCCTTCAGGTATCTGGAGCAACATTTTCTCCCTGAACTTGCTGGATGCCTGGTATGACCTCACCAGCTCTGGGGAGGGCTGGAAGCAGCACATCAAGGACAAGATCAGGAACATAGGTGGGCAAGGGGCACGGAGACCTGGGATGAGGTTGCTCCCCTTAGACTCTGGTTAGGGGCATCTGAAGGGAAGAAGGGCTGGGCATTTCCAGGCCTCCCCTAGACCAAGGTCTGTGTCTCTGGCTGCAGAGAAGGAGCCCCCTGCCTCCTCCGGGACCTCCTCATGGCTGGAGTCCTTGTGGCTGCAGCCGGGATCAGCCCTGGCCCAGGCATTTAAGGGCTTCCTGACAGGCAGACCGCTCCACCAGCACAGCCCCAACTTCATTGGGGGCCTCCAACTGCACCAGGACTACTACAGCCAGAAAGCCTTCTCCACCTGGGCAGGTAAGAGCCATTACCCTGGGCCCCCAGGTAACACAGTTGAGATCCTGAGTGGTGATGGGACATAGATGGGCACTGGCAAAGGCCCTGGGGATCATAGCACCTACTTCTGGGGTATGACCTGGAAGATCCCCTTGGGAGGTGTTGGGGAAGGACAGGGCCGCATATGCCTTTAGGGAGTGACCCAGAGTAAATTTGGGTGGACAACTGGCGGCGGGAGGGTGGTTGCCTCTGACTGTCACTGCCTCTCCCACCAGACTGCCAGCTAGACTCCAGACCCAGCCAGCTAACCCCCCAGGAGTCCCAGCTCTGCCTGGTGGACCCCTGCTACTTCATCAACACCAGCTGTCCCTCCATGTTCCGGTCGGGCCGCAGGCTGGACCTCATCCTCTCCTTCGACTACTCTCTATCCTCGCCCTTTGAGGTGCCTCTGATCACCCCATAGGAACCCTTCTGCACAGCCAGGCCCAGCTCCAGGAGCAGGCAGCAGGGTCACTAAGCCGTTGCCTCACACCTCCCATGAAGAAGGGGAGATAGGCTCTAATCCAATGGCTTCTGCCAGGGTCCTTGATTGGGAGGGGCTATGTGCTGGGGCCCTGGGCTCCCAAGACCAGTGAATAGGAAGGGACTTCCCCACACAGGCTCCAAAGAGACAGATGAACAGAGCTAAGAGGAGACCCTGGGTGTCCCCAAATCCACTCCCCCAGACCTCCCCTGGAGACTATGCAGATGTGGGACCCCTACTGATGTCCTCTAGGCTCTGGGACTTGAATAACCCAGCACTAGCAATCCAGAATGCAGCATGGGGGCCGGGGTGGGGGTGGGGAGATGCTGGCTCTGTGCTCCACCTAAAGATTTTAAACAATGGTGCAGACCACAGGGATCCTCATGTTCCCTCCAGGTCTCCCTCTCAGGGATTATGCAATTTAACTGGCCTTGAACCCAACCAGGACAGGACCAGGTTGTTGCTTGACACCAAAGCAGCTTGGCCTGGAGGTGTCCCAGCACTGATCCTGCTGCCCTGTTCCCACCAGGCACTGCAACAGACTGAGCTGTACTGCCGGGCCCAGGGGTTGCCCTTCCCCCGAGTGGAGCCCAGCCCTCAGGACCAACACCAGCCCAGGGAGTGCCACCTCTTCTCTGACCCCTCCTGCCCTGAGGCTCCTCTCCTGCTGCACTTCCCACTGGTCAATGCCTCCTTCAAGGACCACTCAGCCCCTGGTGAGGCCACCCCTTCCCAGTAACCAGGCAGCTTGGCCCCTCAGAAGCACTGCCATGCCCACCCTCAGTCTCCAGCAGAGGGTGGGGCGTCTGCCTAAGAAAAGGCTAAGATCAGTCCCATTAGTCTTTGGACTCTTGTCCGGGCTCTGTGCTGATGCCCACATCCCTGCAGTGTCCCCTGTTTAGAAGGTCACTGTGCTATTGTCCTCTCTGTCACGACCCCAGCCTCTTTCAGCCTCCCCTTCCCTTGGGACTGCTGGCTCTTCTGCTCCTTTGCCCTGTGAGGCGTTCAGTTCAGTTGGCCTCTCTATCATCCTACCCACCCCCCCACCAGCCCGGGCCCCTTCTCTGGGAGCTGGACTTCTTCTCAAGGGCCCCTGAAATCTAAACCCTCATCACATTCCTTCTTGTCCTCTCCTCTCCTCTCACCAACTGGTCAGAATTTCATCTCTTTTTGGAAGGAAAACTAGTTTCTGCCTTTGTGCGTTATTCCCAGCCTTCTGGTTCTCACCATAATTTTAGGTCTTCCAGCTTTACTTTTAACTTGTTCAGCCCACATCTTGGAATTCCAAAGAACTTTTCTCTCTCAACAAAGAGCTTAGGGAATCCTTTTGCTAAGTTGACTTCCTTGTTCTGGACATTAGTACCTTACCCCAAAGCAATGTACAGATATTGTGGGGTTGCAGATACTGGGGGAAGAGTGCCATGCATGCCCCAAGAAAATGTGGGAGCAGCAAATTCCTCATACCTCCAAATACTACTCTACTACCCATCTTCGTATTTCTGGGCAAAGGACACTAAGAGCATGGAGGAAAACAAATGTCCCTTGGGGGTGGGGTCAGCAGCTCTCCCTACCTTGCTGCAAGCTCTGTCCTGCCCAGTCACAGAGGCCTCTGTGTCCTACTCCTCATCCCCTCTCACCCCTGGACAGGTGTCCCACGCAGCTCCTCAGAACTCCAGGCTGGCCAAGTAGATCTCACGGAGGCCACCTCCCCCTACACACTGTTCAACATGACCTACAAGGAGGAAGATTTCGACCGCCTGCTGCAGCTCAGTGACTACAACATGCGGAGCAGCCAGGATGCCATTCTGCAGGCCCTGAGAACCGCTCTGAAGCACAGGGCCCTGAAGGCCAGGCCTCCAGGGGTGCAGACCTGAGGCTGCTTAGAGTCCTCACAGCCCTGAGGGCCACACTGTGACCCTCCAGGGACTGAGGGCTTAACCCTACCTGCAGCTACAGCAATCTTCCAGCTTTATTACTAACATGCTCAGCCCACATCTTGGAATGTGGCTAGAGTTCTCCGCTCTCCCAGGCCTGGGCCACCTTTGAAGCTAGTCTCACTGCCCAGAAGGGGCTGTGCCCCCACCCAAAGTTTTCCCTTATGTTCATGGCTTGTTTGAGAAGAGTTGAAAATAAACTCTTCACCAGGCCAGTGTGCGGAAAAACTGGTCCAACCAGATACATACATATTCACTTTCATGTGGAGTGAATTTGGGGTGCAATCTGGAGGTACCAGATCAGGAGTAGGGATAAGAAAGGCTGTAGATGGTCTAACCTGACAGGTGGCTTCAGGCATCAGAAATCACAGTATGTCCTGAACATATTCCTGCCCCTCCCCCCACCACCTATAGCTAAATTTATTCCTAGTATTTTATTCTTCTTGATGATATTGTATATTAAATTATTTTCTTAATTTATTTTCATTGCCATTTTATAGAAATACTATTGAATTTTGCATATTGATCTTATATTCAGCCATCTTGTGGACCTTATTATTGGCTCTAACACTTTTCTGTGTATTCCTAGAATTTTCTATAGACAGATCATGTCTTCTGAAAATAGAGATGATTTCTTCTTCCTTTCTGATGTGAGTGCCTTTATTTCTCTTTCTTTCCTAATTGCCCTACTAGAGCCTCCAGTATAATGTTGAAAAGATGTGGCTGGAGTAGACATACTTGTTTTGTTCCCAATATTTGGGAGAAGGCCTTGTGTCTCTTACCATTCAATGGGATATTAGTTGTGGGTTTTTCTTAGACATCTTTTATCAGGTTGAAGAAGTTCCTTTCTCTTCCTAGTTTGAGTATTGTTATCATAAAATGGTGTTAAATTTTGTCAAATTCTTTTTCTGTGTCTATTGAGATGACTTATGGGTTTTGCTCTGTATTCTATTAATATGCTATATTACATTAATTAATTTTTGTATATTAAACCATCCTTGTATTCCTGGAACAATTTCTACTTGATCATGGTATATAATCCTTTTTATGTACTGTACAAACACCTCTTACCTCCCACAAGGGTACACACACACACACAAACTCACAAACAACTATTGCTAACCTGGCCCCAGGTAGGGGTTGCAGTGGGAGTGTAAGACAGACCTTGGTTCAGGGATTGCCCTCACATGCTGTTCTCTCTCAGCACTTTTCTTTCCTCTGCTTCATCTGTATTTGGCTTTATTTTAATTCTCCACTTTCTCTATTTTATTTATGAACTCTTACTTTTTTAACAATGATGATAATGGAATTTGCTGACTGTTATATTTATTTTATGCCAGGCATTTTACATTAATGCCCTTAATTCTCACAGCTGCCTAATGTGTGAGTATTATCTCCATGTTATCAATGATGAAACTCAGGGGTGAGAAAAGAAAAAGAGTATCCCATGACGTGGTCAGCTGGGAGCTGGCCTGGCACCAGCCTGCTGGGCCATGGTGTCCTCCTGATGCATGCACATCTTTCACAGAGCACCAGTGTCAGACTGTGATGGAGCAAGACAGCAACAAGGCCAATCCTTAAGTAAGTCTGAGCACTGACAAAGGCATGAGCTCTGTGAAATCACAAAAATGGCCAACATTGCCCTCTCCCTTTCCACATGAGAAATTGCTGTTTCTTTACCAATTATACCTTTTTGGCCTTGCCCTCTTCCCCCACCTGCTTGATAAAAATTGTGAAGTGACCCAATTGTAGAATTGTCCCGACTTCCTGACAGCATGCAAGCCAGAGCAAAACTGTGCTCCCTTAAACATTTCTTAAAATCACCTTGTACAAGCCCAAATCCTACATGTTCCCCCCAACACACACACCACTTACTGTGACTCTCGATGGTATGCAGTCTCCTTTTGCAACAAGTACAATAAACCCAAATGCATTTGACTACTAGGATGTTTCTTTGGCAGATGGCACCAACAGGGTTAAGCAATTTGCTCAGGATCACTAACCTCAAAGTGGCAAAGCCAAGACTGGAAATGGAAACTTTTGGAAGCAATGCCCAGGTTTCTAACCACCACCACTCAGCATCTTTGAACACTGACTTCGTAACATGCCCTATTTTTAGTGAATAATTTATATCACCCAAAAAGAGCTCTAGCCCCTGTCCTTCCTACTGGGGGGTAATCTCTGGGTCCTGGAATGTCCTGTCTGACAAAAGTGTTCTTTGTTTGTTGGGGAACATAGTCTACCCTAAGGAACTACAGACTCAAAAGAGTTTTAGCCCAACCTCCAGGGAAGGCTAAAGATCACAGGTCAGTCATATGGGTAGTATCTGGTTGAGCCTTGCTTTCCTGGTTGACAATGCTCTCTGCATACTGTCATCCCTTGTGGCCAGGAGGTGGTGACACCACCCAGAGCTCCATGAGGAAGATGCCTGCCTGGAAGCTCTGTGATTGGACTGCTCCCAGATTCCACCCTATGTGTCTTTTCCTTTGGATGATTTTAATTTGTATCTTTTCATTATAATAAAGGTATAATCATAAGTTAATGCTTTTCTTGGTTCTGTGCATCATCTTCACAAATTATTGAACCTGAGGGTGAATTACTGAACCTGAAAGTACTGAAGGTCAGCAACTTCAAATTGCAGCCAGCTGAACTACTCCCTGAATTTCTAATTCCAACTTTACTTCCATTCTATTTGTCTCAAGAAATCAATGAATTCAAAGACAAAATATCCAAGGATTTAGACATAATAAGAAATTGCAGGCCTTAAAGAAATGAGAAAGTTATTTGAGGAGCTTCATAATACAGTAGAATCCCTTAGTAATAGAGTGGAGCTGGCAAAAGAAAGGATCTCTGAACTTGAAGACAAAGCTTTTGAATGCTCCCAAATGCTCAAAGAGGCAGAGAAGTGGAGAGCAAGAATGGATCACTCCCTGAGAGAGTTGTGGGACCACTCCAAAAGGGCAAACATTTGCCTTATAGGAATTCCTGAAGGAGTAGAGGATGGTCCTAAAGGCATTGATGCTCTACTCCAAGATATAATGAAGGAGAATTTCCCAGCATGGCAAAAGATACATAAATTCAGACACCAGTTTCAGAACCCCAGCATAACTCAATCCATATAAAGCATCTCCTAGACACATTGTAATTAACTTTGCCAAAGTTAATACAAAGGAGAAAATTCTGCAAGCAGCCAAACATAAGAAAAGTATAACCTACAAGGGGAAGAGTATTAGAATGATTTCAGATCTCTCAGCTGAAACTTCAAGCTGGAAGAGGATGGTCATCAACCTTCAATCTCCTAAAACAAAACAACTTTCAGCCCTGGATCCTGTATCGAGCTAAACTGAATTTCATTCGTGATGGAGAAATCAAATACTTTACCAACTTACACGTGTTGAAGAAATTTGCCATAACTCAATCAGCTCTCCAGGATATTCTCAGATCCATTTTCCATAAGGATCAGCTTAATGGTCTACCACCAAAGTAAACTCACCCAGAAAGCCTTGAACAAAACCTAACATCCATAATGGTGAAAGGATTAAAAATATCCACAGGACACTTGAAAAACTTGCCATGCTTATCAATACTCTTAATTAATATGAATGGCTTAAATTGTCCTCTAAAGAGGCACAGATTGGCTGACTGGATACAAAAACTCAGGCCAGATATCTGTTGTATACAAGAATCTCATCTTACCTTAAAGGATAAAAATAGACTGAGGGGGGAGGGATGAACATCTATAATTCAGACAAATGGAAATCAGAAAAAAGCAGAGGTTGCAATTTTATTTGCAGATACAATAGGCTTTAAACCAACAAGGTAAGGAAACATAAGGATGGTCACTTTATATTTGTCAAGGAAAACACTCAACATGAAGAGATTTCAATTATTAACATTTATGCTCCCTTACCAGAATGCTCCTCAATTTATAAAGGAAACCCTAACAGACATGAACAATTTGATATCTTCCTGCATTATAATAGTTGGAGAGTTTAACATCTCTTTGGCAGTGTTGGATAGATCCTCCAAGAAAAAAACTAAATAAAGAAATATTGGACTTAAACTTGATGCTACAACAAATGGACTTAACAGACATTTACAGAACATTTCATCCTAATAAAACTGAATACACATTCTTCTCATCAGCTCATGGAACATCCTCCACAATTGATCACACCTTAGGTCACAAGCATAACCTCAGCAAATTTAAAAGAATAGAAATCATTCCTTGTATTTCTTAGATCATCACAGAATAAAAGTTGAACTCAACAACAACAGGAATCTTCATATTCAAAGTTATGGAAACTAAATAACCTTATGCTTAATGATAGCTGTTTTGAAGATGAGATTAACAAGGAAATTACCAAATTTTTGGAACAAAATGACAATGAAGACATGAATTATCAAAACCTATGGGATACTGCAAAGGCAGTCCTAAGAGGGAAATTCATAGCGTTGCAAGCATTCCTCAAGAGAAAGGGAAAGAGAGGAAGTCAACAACTTAATGGGTCCTCTCAAGCAACTGGAAAAGAAGCAGAAGAAAAGAAATAACCAAAATTATAACAGAATTAAATTAAATTGAAAATAAAAGAATCATTCAGAAGATCAATGAATCAAAAAGTTGGTATTTTGAAAAGATTAACAAAATTGATAAACCTTTGACTAACCTAACCAGAAACAGAAAAGTAAAATCTCTAATATTAGAAATTCTAAATCAGAAATGATAAAGGAGAATTAACAACAGACACCTCAGAAATTCAAAAAAATCCTTAATGATTTCTACAAAAAACTCTATTCTCAGAAATATGAAAATCTAAAGGAAATAAACCAATACCTGGAAGCACACCACCTTCCTAGACTTAGCCAGAAAGAATTGGAAATGTTGAATAGACCTATATCAAACACTGAAATAGCATCAACTATACGAAATCTCCCAAAAA